ATGCATGTCACCGTAACACGCACTTTTCGATCGACCTATTCCTAACCGCGGTCGACCGAATACACTAATGTGGGAAATATGATGACTTATGATGGTCGACCTTTAAAATATAGTGGTCGACCGTTTTGAGTTAAGTTGTGACATTACCGGTCGACCGCAATAAAACATGGGTCGCCCTTTTCATTGTAGTCTGAAGCAAATTGGTCGACCGTAAATGTAATGAGGTCGACCACTTGATTGTGGTCATTACCAAAATGGTCGACCATTTATAGAAAGAGGTCGACCACACAGAAGAGTAAAGTGCTCTATCCATTTATCCATCCCTTTTTTATGTGAAATGAAGATCGAGTGTTGGTCTCGAGGTCGACCGAATACAGTAAGAGGTCGACCAAATTAAGGAAATTTAGCCTATGACCTTCGAATTTTTTGTGTATGTATGTCGATGTGGGTAGTGTTTGATAGTCATTGTAATTAGTATTATATCATGATATCAAGGACTCATAGCTTCTTAACATAACAACGTAACACACTAACAAGAAATATAATAAAACACACTTCATAATTGTTCACATAAAACACACTTCATGAAATAAAAAACCACATAAAAACTAAAAACACAAGCTAAACTCATAGAGTTCATACCCCTCTCAACTCTCTAAAAAAACAAATCAGGTCGACCTAATTTGTGCATGTTATTAACTTCACTTTGTTTTTATAAGTTAAGATTGGGGAAGATATTCACAAGTCTATTAATTATTAATTGTCATTCACTTTTAAAGTCTACACCCGAGTGTCAAAGAATTTTAATTACCCAATAATGCTTCATGCATACCTGAAATTAATAAATATAATTGACGAACCAAAAGTTACACAGAGAAAGGATTGAGTAGGAATGATCATATCAAAGACTAGCTTATTACCCGGCTCGTTGGCCGGATTACTGTATGCTACCCACTTGTGGAATGGGAGAGAAAGCAAGTGAGAGTGAAGGGATTGAGATTCCACTTGATTAGGACCGACCCACTAATCCGATTCTTCTCGACCCGCCCCAACCTAAAAGGTCAGAAAGAGTCAATAAGAAAATACGAACAGAGAGGATTAGTCATATATCTTGACTCTTCAGAAGTGGATCAAACAGGATCAAGGTTGGGTGAGGGCAATTTTTAGCGCTAAGCAGAGTTCTGGATTGAATAACTTTACTTAGGCCTAGAAATTGGTGCTGATGCAGACTGCAGTTTTTATTATACCATCATCAATCATCATTGAATTAGTCCTGGGCATCCCTCCCCGTTTTCGGTCTGAATTCTAATGATGGCTTCATTCCTTGCACCAACCATATCAGCGAGTTGTCATCTCGAGCATGATTTGCCTATGTACAAATGATTTAATTAGAGTATGAAACTGAATTCAAAGAAAAGGAAAAGAGAATTCTATCACATGCCAATAAATACACACATAATAGTTGAAGCTAAGTGAAAGTCATTACTCGCACATCAATTCTAGAAAATTACAGACTAAACAATGGCTAGAATGGCACTGAAACTATCAAGAATCATGGACGAAACAACTTGTCAAATTAAATAATCCTTATACTGAAACTACCTTCTAACTTGAAATAAGACATGATCACAGTTCATAGCACTCTTATCACTATGAATTGGTTGCAGCTCGTCCTTATCACTGCCTCCCAAGCTCAATTCAAACAGAATAGAGACTGTTATGTAAGATAACCATATTCTTACTGATCATAATTCCTTTCTTCACTCCATTTTTGTCGGAGAAAAGAGTTATCCCCCTCTCCTGCATTTCCCTTTCCCCCTCTCTTCTCCCTCTTCTTCACAAACCGATCCCTAAACCAGCAACAACAACACAAAAATAGCCTTTGCTTCTGCCATCTCCATCTACTGAACGCGTTGGTGGCAAGACAGGACTGCAGAAGCAAAATTTTCTAAAATCAAACTAAATTTTTTGAAGGAGACTAAACCACGAAAAAAGAGTAAAGCAACAATGCTAATAGTTCAGATGGTTGGTTTGATGTTATACATTGCTTTTGTTATGGTCTCCAGTATATCAACTGCAACAGAGATGTTTCCTTCCTACTTTCACTCTCGTTGCAGGAAATTTGAAATGGGGAAACTGTTTTCCCCTTCCGCGTATTATAAGTATAGAAGATAGTACGCTAAAGAGGTAACACAGACTCACCTGCCAAACTGGTTTGGATTGAGATTTTTATCGGGTATCAGGGAACCATGTGATTATAAATTAGACTTGATCAAAACGGGCCAAAACTTGAAATTCAGCCTGTTTGACCGACCCATGTCAAAGTCTAATTATTCTTTACTTTTAAACTTTCTATTTGAAACTAAAAAAATAGTGAAAAAAGAGATGACAACAATTCGCCATTTGCACATCACTTATTCGGGAATAAAACCATAGAAATTCAAAAGGAACTGAAAATGTTTAGGATCGTTTTAATGTTTAAAATAACCAAATAGATCTTTCTGTTTAGTTTTTTACTAACAAATAAAATACACTATAATTTGATCATTATGATATCAAATAATTATATAATATATATTTGAAATGATAAAAATTGGACTAATTGGGTTGGTCGAGGTTGAACCAGTGAATAACTTTAAAATACATTATATTTTAGCCACTAAGATATAAAATAATAGTATAATATATATTATGCAAGAGAAAATAGCTTGTTTTAGAATGTCAAACCAATGATGTTCATTTGTTTTACTTGATGGCCAAATCTCGTGTAGGTCATGCCCATTCAACTCTTTTATTTTATGGTTAGCGGTTAGCCCATTAGATACCATGCATTAGTTTATTGTTAAATTTTTTATTTTTAGCAATAAAACGAAGTATTATTTTTGCCTTTTCATATATATTTTATCACCATGAAGAAATAAAAGGGCTTAAAGAAAAAAATTGACACTTCTGGACCCGTTCAAATTCGCATGTGTACGGTAAGTTGACCCGTTCCACAGAGGAAAGAGAAAAAAATTGACACTCCCTATTCTTCCCTTCCCACAAACGCTCCTGGAGCAGGGAATTTGAAATGGGGGAATGGTTTTTTCCTTCCTGCTATTATATGTTTTTAATTTAAAAAGATACAACAAATGTACTTAGTATGATTGGTTATGATCCTTGCTTTTCTTAAAAATGGTCATGGTTCGAATCCTAGTACGTGTTTGTTTAATGAATAAAAAAAAAGTAATTGTGAAGACCAAAATGTCCTTCCTACTTTCACTCTCGTTGCAGGAAATTTGAAATGGGGCTCCCGTTTTTCCCTTCGGCGTATTATAAGTATAGTAGATAGATACATAGGGTGCCTTTCTTTTGGTCCACATTGTATCGAACCAAACAAAGGCGACATTTGTTGCAGGCCAAACTTGACCTAATATAAGAAGGTCCAGTTCTAGATTTCATTAATTTAGTGAATATTAAAAACGTGGGCCGGATTGTGGTTTAGATCTTACCAAACTGAATTGAAATTATCAGATTTTGATCCTGAAATTCTCAATATAATTAAAAACCGTGATTATTATGATTGGGTCCAATTTCAAGCGGATCATATTTTTACACAACCGAAAAATATCCAATATTGATTATACTACCCGGCCAATTGGCCGGGTCATAAGCTAGTCTATATATGTATCGTTTTAGCTGTTCCATACTGATTTTTCATGTTTTATGTTTAAATTTTCATCCTCGTTTCCTCCTACCTTATGCCCTTCTCAACGATTTATTTTCCATCAATATTTGGATGGATAAATTGCAAGTTTGGCCATTGGAATTACTAAAAAAATTAAGTTTGTCACTAAATTTATTTTATTTTATTTTATTCGTTGTCACTAAATTAGTTTGATATTCCATTTTTGGTCACTCTCTGTCAGCTTCTGTTAGCGACATCAATTTTTTTGTTGAAGTGGTTAACAGATTGCTCAATTAGATCCGAAAATTTGGAGACGCGAACTGCCATGTCAAATTTGGACAGATTGACATGGCGAGTTGATAATTTTTTTTTGTTAAATCAATCTGATAGGACAATTTCGTCAGCCACGTTAGCAGATAAGTAGATTTTCAAAAATGATGCCAACAATTTGAACAAGAGATCTTTTCAAAATTGTTAGATACTTTTATCATCCACATACCCCACCAAGGTCAATTACACATAAGGGTAATGTGGGCAGCTCCATTGTACAAGCTTGGTGGGGGAAAATGCATCTACAAATTTCCTGCAACGAGAGCGAAAGTAGGAAGGGTAATTGTGTCTTCACAATCATTATTTATTTTTTATTCATAAGAAAAAATATATCAATCTTGTGATTTGAACCATGGTTTTTGCAAATAAAGACAACAACCATTACCAATTACATCAAATAAATGTTTTGTATTTTTTAAGTAAAATACACTTTCATAGCCATAACTATTCGCGTTGTGACAAATATAACCAAAATTTGAAAAATACACTCATATAGCCATTCCATCACAAACTTTAACGAAAACATCATGAATGCTGACTGGACTAATGGTTTATGCTGAAATGGCAACTTTTACTCTTGACTTTTCCAAGTTGAAAATATTATTATTTTAATTAACTAAAAAACAAAAAAGGAAGGAAATGAAAGAAAAAATAGGATTTTGGTTACGCTGTTCTTTCTTTTTCCTTCTGCTTCTGGGTTCGTTTGCGGATGCTCCATCTGCGATTGACACTCCCCACCGTCGGCTTCTTCTTTCCAAACCCATTCCATCTTTTGAAAATGATTTGCGGCGATCTATGGGATAGGGGATTTCTTCCAATCGAAGCGATTCTCACGGCGATGATTTCTTTCGAAATCGGTGCAGCTGCTTCATCTACTACTGCTTTTGGGTTCGTCGTTCTTGTTTGTCGACGTCGAGGAATCGCCACTTCATCTAGATGCGTCCACCTCTGATTCTGGATTTCTCCCTCCGCCGTGTCGAGGAACCGCATCTTCACTTCATGCACTGTCAACCAAGTGAAGACGTCGAGTTGCAGAGGAGTCCTGAGATCATCTGGATTACAAGGAAGGAGAAGGAGTTTCGTCTATGAAACGTTTCAGAAGAAGCTCATTTTATTTATGTTTGAACGCTGTCGTTTTACTTTCGGCTAATAGCCGTTGTTAAGAACACTGTTTATTTTGTAATGGCCAATGGCATTCTGCCACTTGGCTAACTCTGGAGTGATTCTGTTTTATCAGAACACAGTGGTATATAAGAGAAGTAGCAGGCAACTCTCAAGTGGAGGGTTTGCCAATTCTCCAAACCTAGAAGGCTTTTATGGTATCAGAGCGGTCAAGCAGCTAGGGCAGCCATGAACACGCCGCCGGGTTCCCAGGGTCGCCCAGATTCATCATCGGGAAATGCCTCTCAAGGATCTCAGGGAACTCAAGCTGGAAATGGGACTGGTCCTCGTGCTTTCCAATTTGGATCGTTTGATGAGCAGCAGCAACAACAAATCTTTGCTGGAGCCAGAAACGATGTCATAACCTTCGGTAATCCTTACTACCTAAACCCAAATGAAGCCTTAAACCAATCTATAGGATCTGAGGTCTTCGATGGTAGTAACTACACTATGTGGAGTCGTTCTGTGATAATGGGTCTGAAGATGAAACATAAGCTGGGTTTTATTGATGGCACTATACCCATGCCAGCTAGAACAGATCCTAATTTCTTGTTGTGGGATGGTTGTAACACTGCTGTGCTGTCATGGATTCTTAACTCTCTGGACAAGGATTTAAGAAGATCTGTCATGAGTCATGTGAATGCTAGAGTTTTGTGGGATGAATTGAAGAGGAGATATGGGAAACCAAATGCTATCAGGATAACAAATCTGGAGGATGACATTCATAAATGTAAGCAGGGCACTCAAACCATTAACCAATATTATACTGAGATTAAAGGGTTATGGGAGGAGTACCTGCAGTTCAATCCTATAGTGCCCTGCAATTGTGCCCCAGGAAATCCAAATCCTTGTGATGCAGTGGTAGCTTACACTGAGAGACAAGAAGCTGACTACCTGATTCGATTCCTGAGGGGTCTCAACCCAGACTTTGAGATAATCAAGAGTCAATTGCTTGCACAGAAGCCATTGCCTACTGTGTCAGAAGCAGTTGATGACCTGCTGCAGTATGAACAGAAGTTGAAGGCTGAGAAAGGAAGTGCTGGGAAGAAGGCTCAGAGTGTAGCCTTGGCAGCAGAAACTCTACCTCAAGGATCAGGACAGAGGAGTCAGGGCAGGAAGTATTGCATTTACTGCAAAAGGCCTGGTCATCTGGTTGATGAATGTTGGAGGGCTAAGAGAAAGAAAGATGCTGATAATGGAAGCAGCTCTGGAGGATCCACTACATCAAAGTTTGCAGGGTCAGTCTCTCAAGTAAGCTCAGGAGACTCATCAACTGAGGTAAGTTATAACAGTGACACACCAGATGGTAGTCCTGTGAGTCCAGCAAAAGTAGTGGCAGCTTTTACTCCTGAAGAGGTTAACAGACTTAGGCTAATGATGCAAACTGGTGCTAATCTAAGCCCTTCACCACCTCATTCACCCTCCATTTCACACCATGCCTACTCAGTGTCCCAGTATCTACCTCCTTTTCCTAACTTTTCAGGTAAATTCATCCTTTCCTCACACACAAAACATAGCAATCTAGATCCTGTTGACTTTTGGATTTTAGACACAGGAGCATCAGATCATATTGCATGCTCTTTATCTCTTTTCATAGAGCATACAGTGACTCACAGCATGTTTGTTTACCTACCAAATGCCACAAAAGTCCTTGTGACACATATAGGAACTGTTAGATTGCCTTCAGGACTCCTTCTATACAATGTTCTGTTTGTCCCTAGTTTCTCCTTTAACCTTGTGTCTGTTAGTAAACTCACCCATGATCATCCTTTAGCCTTACATTTCCAATCTGATTTCTGCCAAATCCAGGACCTGCTAACAAAGAAGATGATTGGTTTAGCAAAAGAGAGTAGAGGCCTCTACCAGCTCACCTTTTCCCAACCAAAACAAGACCAGCCATCCATTCCACTACCTCAAGCAGCCAGTTCTTTCAACTTTCATCCTCAGCAAGTTGACCTATGGCATTGGAGATTAGGGCATCCTAGTAAAGATAGGATTTCTTTGTTACAACAAACAGATTCTTCTGTAACTAGTCCTAAGTTTAAACATTGTGATGTCTGTCACCTTTCCAAACATAAGAAACTCCCTTTTCCTGTTAGCACCAGTATTGCACATGATTTGTTCCATTTAATTCATGTTGATATATGGGGGCCTTTGTCTGTGATTTCTTATGATGGATATGCTTACTTTTTGACTGTTGTGGATGACTGTTCAAGGGCTGTGTGGGTGTTTTTAATGAAACACAAAAGTGAGGCTAGACCTCTTCTTAAAGGGTTCTGCACTCTTGTACAGAATCAGTTTGGTAAATGTGTCAAAGTGATCAGAAGTGACCAAGGGCAGGAGTTTAACATGTGTGATTTTTACATGGAACATGGGATTGAACATCAGATGTCTTGTATAGAGACACCAGAACAAAATGCACGTGTAGAAAGGAAACACCAGCACATTTTAAATGTTGCTAGGTCTCTTAGATTTCAGTCAGGACTTCCTTTGACCTATTGGAGTGACTGCATTCTGCATGCCACCTATCTCATAAACAGATTGCCAACTCCAGTCCTTGACAACAAATCTCCATATGAAATTTTATACCAGACCTCACCTCTGCTGGGTCATTTGCGTGTGTTTGGATGCTTGTGTTATGCAAGCACTCTAGTCAGTGGTAGAACAAAGTTTGCCCCTCGTGCAAGACAGTGTGTCTTTATTGGTTTACCAGTTGGGATTAAGGGCTATAAGTTGCTTGATTTGCAGACCAGGGAGGTGTTTGTTTCCAGAAATGTGGTCTTTTATGAATCCATTCTGCCTTTTAGAAGTTTATCAGACACGCATGACTTACCTTCTCCTGCTGCTGATCACTCTTCTTCTCCTTTCCCTGTGGTGACCCCAGCTCCACCACTCTTAGTTCCCACTACCACACCACCTCCTACAGCCTGTGATTCAAGGGGGGATCCATCCAGTAGTGGTAGTTCTGAGGAGATTTCCTCCTCATCTAGTGAGTTTTCACCTGGTATAGAATTAGAACCTGAATTGGAACCACAGGCACCATATGAGGAACCTACTGGTAGACCCACTAGAAAGATTGTTCTTCCTGCTAAGTACCAAGATTGTGTTTTGGACCCTCAATTGCAGTTTGGAGCTTTTGCAGCTACTACAACTAGGTATCCTGTCACATTTGACTTAGATCATCTCAATGCAACAGACAAAGCTTATGCACTGAGTATTCTGACTTGTGTGGAACCTAGAAGCTACAGGGAAGCTATTCAAGTTCTGGAATGGAGGAGAGCAATCAATGAGGAGCTTGCAGCATTGGATGCCAATCAGACATGGGAGATAGTACCAGTGCCCCCAGATAAACATGTAGTGGGGAGCAAATGGGTGTTTAAACTCAAATTGAAGCCAGATGGTACAATAGAAAGGTATAAAGCTAGGCTGGTTGCAAAAGGCTTTACTCAGGTGTATGGAATAGACTTTCTTGACACATTTTCACCTGTAGCAAAGATTAATTCAGTAAAAGCCTTACTGGCAATAGCAGCAGTAAAGAATTGGACTTTAGAGCAGTTAGATGTCTCTAATGCTTTCTTACATGGAGACTTAACTGAAGAAGTCTATATGGAGATTCCTCAGGGAGTTGAAATACCAGGATCCAGCAATGTAAGGATGGCTTGCAGACTAAAGAAGTCACTGTATGGATTGAAACAAGCCTCAAGACAGTGGTTTTCTAAACTGACAGGTTTCTTATTGAGGAATGGGTTCTCACAGTCCAAATCTGATTATTCCTTGTTTACCAAGTGGATTCATGACAGGATTGTGGTGATTTTAGTCTATGTGGATGATATCATAGTGGGAGGAGATGCACAGAAGGATATAGACCAGATTAAGAGGTCATTGTGTGGTGAATTTAAAGTTAAATTGCTTGGTCCCTTGAAATATTTTCTTGGTTTGGAAGTGACAAGAACTGCAGAAGGTTTATCTGTCTGTCAGAGAAAGTATTGTATGGAGCTGCTAAATGATACTGGGTTTCTTGAAGCTAAAGGTTGTCTGTCTCCATCTGATCCCAATATAAAACTTGCAGCAGGACAAGGAGTCAAGATGGAAGACCCTGAGGTGTACAGAAGGCTAGTGGGAAGACTGCATTATATCACTATCACCAGACCTGATCTCACCTTCTCAGTGCAGCAACTTTGCCAATACCAGAAAGAGCCTTACAGTGATCATTTGCAAGCAGCACATAGGGTACTTAGATACCTTAAAACATCTCCAGGACAAGGGATTTATTTCAGTAGCCAAGCAGAACTGAAACTCACTGGATTCTGTGACTCTGACTGGGCAAGCTGTCCTGACAGCAGAAGATCCACCACAGGCTATTGCACTTTTATTGGAAGATCATTACTCACCTGGAAGTCTAAGAAGCAAACCACGGTTTCCAGATCCTCATCAGAAGCTGAATACAGAGCTTTGGCTCTGATGGTTTGTGAAATTGAGTGGCTAAGAAGTCTGTTGGCTGAGTTGAGTGTTAAAATACCATTACCAGTGACTGTTTACTGTGATAACAGGTCTGCAATCCACATTGCTGAGAACCCGGTGTTCCATGAAAGGACAAAGCATATCGAGATTGATATGCATGTCACCAGAGAAAGAATTAAGGATGGGTTGATACAGCTGCAACATGTTAGCACAATTAACCAATTGGCTGACATTTTTACTAAAAGTCTTCACAGGGTACGCGTCCAGGAGTTGCTTAGCAAGTTGGGGATCTTGAAGGATGCCACAACTTGAAGGGGGGTGTCAACCAAGTGAAGACGTCGAGTTGCAGAGGAGTCCTGAGATCATCTGGATTACAAGGAAGGAGAAGGAGTTTCGTCTATGAAACGTTTCAGAAGAAGCTCATTTTATTTATGTTTGAACGCTGTCGTTTTACTTTCGGCTAATAGCCGTTGTTAAGAACACTGTTTATTTTGTAATGGCCAATGGCATTCTGCCACTTGGCTAACTCTGGAGTGATTCTGTTTTATCAGAACACAGTGGTATATAAGAGAAGTAGCAGGCAACTCTCAAGTGGAGGGTTTGCCAATTCTCCAAACCTAGAAGGCTTTTATGCACTCCTATTGGAATCAATCCAAGCCTCCCACTATCATAACCGAAAAAGATCCATCAAATCTCATCTTGTGTCCCGGCTCAGGCCTAAAAGGAAAGGAAAGGAAAGTGAGAGTTGCATGCACCGGTTGTCTCCTCTCAAATCCCCAATCCCTCCTCGCAATTCACCTCTCTTATTTTCGTTGCTTTCAGTTGAGGTTTGTTTATCTGATTCGCTGTCGTTTACTGGAATTCACTCCCCTGCTGTTCTCTATTTGTCTTCATCATGTTTTCGTTTTTGTTTATGTGGATTCGAGGAGTTGGACCGTTCTAATCTGTCCGCCATTTTTTGACTCTATATTTTTGGTTGTTTTCAGTACTTGCGCAGATGAGGACGCACCCTGACGTCATAGATAATTGGGACTTGAAACCAAGGGAAGACAAAGTGGGTTCCTTCTAGGTAAGTATGTTCGACAACGACATCGGGTGAGTAAGAAACATAAACAAGAAGCTCCCTTCTCTCTATTCGTGCGAGATCTAGAGCTGCTGCCTTCCCTCATTGCTCCATCTCGAGAGGAAAGAAGATGAAAGGATTCCCTTATTATTGAGGATTTGATTTGGGGATGGATATAAAGGGCTGCCGGAGAACATAATTCCAGATTGCGGTTATGGATTCCATTAGGATTCTCCGCCAAGCTGCTTGAGATAGGGTAAGAATTGTTGTGATGGTGATGAAAAAAAATCATAAGTGGTGCAGAAGCGGTGGATCTGGCTTCGGAGACGATGGTAGAGATGGATAGAGTATGTGTTGGACAGAGAGCAGTTGCCGGCGGCGATGGAGAGGATCGGGAGAAGGTTGTCTTCACTCTGGTCGCCGACGGAACTGGTGGGTGTGAAGAAATTCGGCGGCGATCGAGAGTATCGGGAGAAGGTTGTCTTCACTTTGGTCAGCGACGAACAGTGGCGGATCCAGGGGGTGGCCACCCCGGGCCCCGGCCCAGCCCTCCCCTGGATCCGGAACTAGTATAGCCCTTATGAGTTTATCGATTTAACCATTTGGCCCAGTGTTATTTTATAATAAAATTGTGTGTAATTAGGAAAATGGGTAAGATGAACATATTCAAATCACAACTCTAAATTTAGCCTGAAAATTCTAGCTCCAATAATTCTCATATAAAGAAAAGCAAACAATGAAACCTCAAATTCTAAAGCGTAAAAGACTAAAATAAATATGAGGTTTATTCTCTTAAGAAATTACTTGAGCAGCTGTTGAAAATAGGAATTGATTAGTCGATTGTGTTGACATTTGCGCAACAAAATGAACGATGAATTTCTCTCCAATTGGTTAACTATTTTATCTTAAAGAGAGTATGCTATTGATGTGGATGCAAACTCTATTATTGATGAATTCACTATATTAAAATTTAAAAGATTGACGTGTACAATTGATATTGTAAAAAAAAAAACTGTAATTTTTTTACGATATCTAATTTTCTAATGAAATGCGGCCCAGTGCTACGCTGTGTCCTGGATCCGCCGCTGGCGACGAAACTGGTGGGTGTGAAGAAATCCCGCGGCGATGGATCTGGAAATCATAAGTCGTCGATGGAAGAAATCAGATCTCGTTCTTTGCTCTCTCCATGGGGAAGGAGAAAGGTGCATTGAAAAACAAAATAAAATGATTTTTCCTTCTTATTAGAATTGTGGTGAAAAAAATAATTAAGAAAATCATTTAAAATAATGATTTAAATTGACACGTGGCATACATTTGATGACGTGTACATCCACATCATTGAAGAGTTAATGGTGTTAAAGTTTGTAATGGAAATGGCTAAAGTTATCAAGCAAGTTTTCAAATGTGGCTATATGAGTGTATTTTTTAAAATTTGGCTATATTTGCCACAACACAAATAGTATGACTATGTTTGTGTATTTTGCCTTTTTTTAAAAACAAAATCTGAAAACCTTAACTCTAAATAACATATGACTTTTTCACTACGGTTAGCTAGCCCACTAACTCTCTCATAAGTACTTTATTTTTTTATTTGATATTTGAATTTTCATATTTTGATTATTTTAATTTGAATTTAATAATAAATTTAATTTATATCTATCTTATAAGTGGAAGATAATTTAAAATTATAACCCAAATATCATTGATTCAAATATTGCATATTGAATTGTAATATTTAATGTGTAGATGTGATGTAGAATTCTTAACTTGATATTAATTTTTAGAACTATTAAAGCAACGATAATGTTGCAAATTGTAAGTTACCAGTTTTTTGAAAGTGTTTTTTTTGGTTAACCGTTAAATCTTAAATCTCTTGATAATATGGCATGATTGGACAAATGAGTGAGTTTAAAAGAACACAATTTCTGAATACCAATTTTTCTAGATGATTTCAATTATTTAAATTTTTTATCTTATAGGGTAATTGACCATATGTATCATTCATAGTTACTTAGTTTAATATGAAATAACCGCAGTACAAGACATATCATGAAAGTCGAGCTGAAGTTTTCATAGACGCATTGACGTGGTAATGTGCATTAGCAAGGTAGGTACCACAAGTTAGGTTTAATTTTTTTTGTTGAGTGAATAAGATTGTTCTTCAACTAAATTTAGAGTATGTTGGTTGATACATAATTTTTTAATTGCATAGAGTATGGATGAAAAATGTTATTTTCTTACTAATTTTGGTATTGTATTGAGCATAATACTTTAAGGTTTAGATATTGCTATATGTGTATTGTTTCCCAAGCAAAATAAATAAATATTGACTAAAAGTTATGATCATGAGTTTCCTATTTATGCTTTAGGTAATCAATTCGTGGAGGGGGAGCGAGAGCGTGAAGATGTTAAATTATAAGAATTCAATATCGAGAGCGTGACGAGGGCGTTATTATTATATTAATTTTAATTGATATATTTTGTGATTTTATTATAGAATTAAGTAAATTGTAGAGCTATGAAAGAAAAAAGTGAGAACGACAAATAAAGAAAATTCTTATTGATTAAAATGTTCTAATTATTTCTTTTTCCTACTGTATTTTCATATTTTTAGTTAATATCTAATACATTATTATTTTTATATTTTCTAATTACCTTTTCTTCTCTACTTCCAATATTCGTTTTTCCCTTTACTTTCCTCTCCCGTCTCTCACCCACCCGTCACTACTTAATTATCTTTCTACCAAAAAAATAATTATCTGAACTTCATCTCTGTTCTCAATCTAAAGGAAAAGCTCTCAGCCGTCACTCACTTTCCTTTACCTCTTCCCTCTCCTTTCTCACATGCAATCCTATTTTCATATTTCTGACTCTCCTTGCAGCTGATAAATATGTCAACTTTCTCTCAAATCTCATCATAGATCATCTACTCGATGGATTTGACTAGATGACGAAGCTATTTTGATGGGAAGAAGGAAATACGACAGTCGCGACCGCCGATGTCGGTGAGGAAACCGAAAGAACGGTGAGGAGTGGGCTTTCTCTCTTTGATCTTCACTCCAACTCTTATTCTCCGATTTGAACTAAGATTCATTGATTCTCCCGATTTATTCACTACCATTCTTTCTCACTTCTCCTATATATTTGCATAAGGAAACAATAGCTTTGATTGCTTTCCGTATATTTTGATATCCAGATCGCCAAAAAGATTTGTGTTAGTAACAGCTATCAGAGCAGATGAATGGAGCTCAAGGTATGCTGGCAGTCTCGAAGAACAAGGGAAAGGAAGTGCAGAAATGAAGAACACAAAACCCCTTTACTGTTAGGTAGCCGTTAGAAGTTACAGAGTCGTTAAGTGCCACGTGTAAAGGCACAATTAATTTTATTTTCGAGTTACAGGTTTACTTGTTTCCGTTTTTACCGTTCTGAACACTTGGTGGTATAAATAGAAAACAGAGAGCAAGATGCTTCTCTGAGTTTTCCCCTCCAATCATTATAGCTGCTTAACCTAGCAGCTCCTTCATACCTCCTTCTTCTTCTTATGGTATCAGAGCGGTTTTAATCCGTTTCTCACTTACTCTTATGCTATGGCAAACAATCCACCTCCGCAGACACCACCAGGATCTCAGGGCTCAGGACCCATTCCATTTGGCACCTTCAACTCTGCGACCCGTAGCGGTGGAGGCCAGGTTCATAACAACACGAACACTGAAGGTCGCCAACAGCAGAATGGTAACAACAATCATATGGGTTTAGTGTTTGGAAGTCCTTATTACATATATCCTAGTGAGAATCTAGGACAATCCATCGTTGCCGAGATCTTGGATGGATCTAACTACCAAACTTGGTAACGAGCTGTGCGTATGGCTCTTAAGACCAAGCACAAGCTGGGCTTCATTGATGGTTCGATTCCAATTTCTGATCGTATCCATCCTGATTTTGTGTTGTGGGATGCTTCTAATACCATGGTTCTCTGTTGAATTTTGAATCCAGTACATAAGGATATTAGTAGAAGTGTTTTACAACATGAGAATGCTATGGTTGTTTGGGAAGAATTGAAGAATCGTTCTGTAGATCTAATGCAATGAAGCTAGCTAATCTTTCAGACGAAATGGCTGCCTGTAAACAAGGTAGTATGAGTGTGAGTCAGTACTACATCACCCTTAAGGGTTTGTGGGAAGAAATTCAACAGTATAGTCCTGTTGTTGAGTGTGATTGTGTTGCTGTGAGAGTTAGGCCGTGTTGCAGTGGTTGCCTATCGACAAAAGTTGGAAACATATGATCTTATCAAGTTTCTTAAGGGGTTAAGGCCTGAGTTTGATATTGTTCAAACCCAGCTTCTTATGATGAAGCCTTTACCTGCTGTAGAAACTGCTGTAGATGATATATTGCAACATGAGCAGAAATTGAAGGGTGACAAAGGTCAAAGTACCAGTGGTATCCAGTCTGTTGCCTTAGCTGCACAAGGTGACCAGAACAAGTCTTTCACCCCAAACAAAGAGAACAAGTTTGAATCTGCTAAGGAAGGCAAGTTTTGTCGATATTGCAAAATGGGTGGTCACCAAAAGGAAGAATGCTACAGGTTGAAGAACAAGAAGGCTCGAATGGGCGAGGGAGAAACTTTTTCTGGTTCAATGTCTCAATCTAAATCACAGAGTGGTGATTCTGTTTCCTCAGGACATAGTGCTGGTTATGACAGTAAATCTTCCTCCTCTGGATCTCTGAACTTCACTACTAAAGAGATAAACAAGCAGAGACTACTCTTGCATCAACCTGATAGTATGAGTCCATCACCACCAGCTTCTCCTTCCATCAAGCATGCCTCCTACTCAGTCTCAGAACACCTCCCAACACACTCTACCTATGCTGGTAAATATGTTCTTTCCTCCTATGCTCAACATGGATTAATGGCTTTAGCTCAAGTTTGGATTTTAGATACAGGAGCATCAGATCATATAACATGTTCCCTTGCTGTATTTCTAGATGCTAGACCAGTCCTAAACCAATTTGTTTATCTGCCTAATGGCTCTAAGGTAGCAGTGAGTCATGTAGGTTCAGTCAAACTACCTACTGGTCTAATCCTACACAATGTCCTCTTAGTCCCTAGGTTTACTTTAAACCTAGTCTCCATCAGTAAACTCACCCATGACCTGCCCATTTCTTTGTTATTTGAATCTAACTCTTGTCATATTCAGGACCAAACAACCAAGAACCTGATTGGTTCAGCAAGACAGGATAGATGCCTTTATCATCTCATCACCACACCAAGACCTTAACCTGTCATTCACACTCATCAAGCTGCAACCACCTATAACTTTGAACCACATTAGATTGATCTTTGGCACTGGAGTCTGGGACATCCAAGTAGGGAAAGAGAACATCAAGCTACTGGATGTAATAGGCTTTCTATCAAACATTGCCAAACTTGTCATTTAGCTAAACACAAGAAACTTCCCTTTCCTATTAGTGATAGTAGCGTTGTTTCTTCTTTTACATTAATCCATGTTGACATATGGGGACCCCTTGCTGTTAAATTCCATGAGAGATATTCTTACTTTCTGTCTATTGTGGATAATTACACAGAAGTGTTTGGATTTATCTAATGAGACAAAAGTCTGAAGCTTCTTCTCTTCTTCAATCCTTTTGTGTTATGGTTAAGCAGCAGTTTGACAAGGCTGTTAAAGTAATTAGAAGTGATTAGGGGAATGAATTTCATATGTTAGACTTCTATAGCACAAATGGAATTGAGCACCAGCTCTCCTGTGTTGAAACTCTTGAGCAGAATGCTCGTGTTGAAAGGAAACATCAGCATATCCTAAATGTTGCCAGGGCACTACGTTTCCAATCAGGGCTACCCGTACACTTTTGGAGTGATTGCATTCACATGCTCTTTTCCTTATTAATAGATTGCCTTCACCAGTGATAGATGGAGTTTCACCTTTTGAGCTGTTATACAAAAAACAACCAGCCTTAGATCTAGTTAAAGTGTTTGGTTGTTTGTGCTATGCATGTCATATCCTCTCCCTCTCTGGTTATATAGTACGTGTTATAGTGTGCGAGAGTCTGACTATATGAATTATAAGTCTAAACATAATTATGTTTAAAATTGTGTTCCTTTTTAAAAGAATTAAATCCTAAACATCCATAACTTGAAGAACTTAGGGCATGTTTGGAAGTTACGATTCTCTAAATTGATGTATTTAATCAATGTATGTATTATAATTAGATGCATTGTTTCAATGTATGAATTTGAAAAATACATTGTTTGGAGATTGAATGATTTTGGTGGTCCCTCAAAGAATAAGGAACAAAAAGTAAGACAACAATCCCTCAAACACAATCTCTGCTTAAAGTTGAGATTGACAATCATTCATAATGAATGATTCTGGTGGGCCCATCTGCTGTTCAAATACAAGCATTATGTTTCAATTTAAGCCAAAAAAACGATGAATTCTTCTGATTACATGTATTGGTTAAATACATCATCTGAAATCCCAACTTCCAAACGAGCCATTAATTCCACCACCATGTATAAATATAATCCAAACCCCACTCTCTCACCTTTAACCCGCCAATAGAAGAGGGGAGGTGGCTCAAGGTAAAAGCTTGCTTTGACCAAGAGTAGAGTTAGTGGTTTTAGAGAAAAGGAGTAGACAGAGAAATCAATTCCCTTGTCTCGGTTTTCTTTCCCCATGCCACTTCTGACTCATTTACAAGCATAAAAAAATTGCCACCATGAATCATATTACCCCAAGCACGTGGACTAAGCTTGGGGTTGGGGATTAAATGAGGGAGAAGATGGGGTTCTCCATTAGCAAGAGCGGTGACCGCTCCGCCACCACTCTTTCTTTCTTTGGCACACCGAAGTAGAGTGAGAGAGAGCTTCTTTCATCCATCCTAAACCAATTTCATGGCCCATCCTTTTCCCTAAACGAAAGAAGCAGCTTTACGAGTAGAGGGAGCTAGAAAAGGGTCATTTAGCACATAAGGTAATTGCCCTTATTATTAGTGGTAGTTGTCTAGTTGAAGTGCTGGTATAGAGTCGAGGAAAATGTCGTTGGGAGGAAGCTATGTTTATGCATGTGAACCATGTCATAAAGCTTGTGATGGGGTAGTGATGCAGGTGTGTGTGCATGTCACATATTGACACGCCAAAACACAACACCAAACTGCGACCAAGTGAAATCGCAGTCCGGGAATGCAGTAACAAGCAAGTTCAATTATCAACCCGGGGTCTAGATCTACTGCTTACTCCGTGATTATCTATTATCTAGCAAACTAATTCGAGTGATTGTTGTTTAACGCAAAAGCAGTAAGAAAGCAGTAAACTGTTCGGTTTTCTAAAGCAGGTAAGAGTCACTCGGGAATGAGTCCCCCTAGTCCCTTAGTTATGTTCAATTGTAATTCCCTGGGTTAATTTTCTGTTTATTAGACTGCGGAAGATCCGACAGTAGCTTGGAATCTCTTAAGCTGACCAAGCCCTCTCAGTCTAGCTACCCGGTAGACGACTAGTCTTCACCGGGATAGAAAGCTGAAGCAATAAGCACAGAACTCCACTACTGGAATTGAATTCCAGTACAAAGCAGTAAACTGGCTAACTCTCGTATAGCCAATCTCCTACTATCGAATGAAGAGGCTCTAACAACCTAATCAGATTCTATCTATCTCAGGTTGCAGCAGAAATCAAGAAAAGGTGATCAGACTTCAATCAATTCAATAAACATGCATCATTCGATTAAAATCAAACAGTAATATCATCCCAAGTCATTACAATCAAATCCCTAACACAAGGAACTAGGGTTCTTCATACCCAAGTGAGAGAAGGGTTCTAATCCATAGAGAGAGAAAGGAAAACAGAAATCAGAGTAGTCATACTCATAAAGATGAGGAAAATCTGCTCTGTGATGTCAATCTTCACTCCTAGGGACGCAATCTGGGCTTCAATGATGAGAAATCCACTCCAAAATAGCTCCTAGGGTTTGTTCTTCGCTCTTTCTCTCTCTAAAACTCTGTTTTTGCTCCAGAAAATCGAATACCTCTTCCTTGGCTCGAATCTGCTTCCAAAAACCCGACTCTGGGCGAATTACGGGCTGAATTACGGCCGTAATCATGTCCTGCCCGTAATTCGCCCCAAAACGCACGTTTCAATTAAGCTGAAGGAGGAGGAGATACGCCCGTAATTTCCCAATTACCGCCAGTAATTTGGGAATTACGGTCGTAATTCTTGGGGGTCTTGTCCGTAATTTTAGCACCGAGAGGAATTTCTGGGGAAAAGGCTCGGCAATTGTTTTACGGGCATGCCCTGACCAATTACGGTCGTAATTTGGCAGGGGCTGCCCGTAATTCTTCCTGTGAATCGCCATCTGACCTCCAAATGACCCGAAACTTGCGCCTATGCACCTCTTTACTTGCTAGGACCTGAAATACGACAAAACAACCTAGCGTAAAATAGGCCAAGGAACAACCAATTCGAGCCAAAATGGACAGGAAACCCGAGTGAAAACACGTGCAAATACGATGCTATCACATATATATGTTGATTGGCGTGCATGCATATGTATGTGGGTGTTCTGGGTGTATAACAACTCAAGGAAGAATGGGTATACAGGTGGGGATTAATTAACTTTAAAAGGGGCTGTTTCTCTCACGCAAGAATAGGAGTGGGATGATTTTGGTGGGTGAAGGAAATTCCACCAGGGGAAGGGGAAACCATTCTTGGGTTTTGGGTGGTCATTAAGTTAGAGGGAAATGGGTTTCAGCTTTGTGGGAAAGATGAACATTGGTGGGATGGATACATATATAAATACAAGTACATATATACCTATGCATGGTTGTTTATGTGTGGTACGAGTCCTTGATTAGTTGGGATTGAGAGTTCGTTTGTCCCATATGGTATTGACTATTGAGTTAAGAAAGTAATGAAATAATGAAGCAATTAATTAAGTATAAACGGAGTGGGTGTAGGTAGGATCAAATGCATGGAAGTGTATATGTATATAACTAAACACGTTGGTATATAGGGTTGATTTATATTGACAAATTAAAAGGCTATTATGACTAAAGATACATTGGTCATTTGTGACTTCATTAGGAAAAGAGGTGTATGACGAGGAAGTGTATGTCTCTATGCTTATGAGTTATGTATTTTTTCAATTAAGCTATTCGACAACAAATTGCTCGAATGTTAAACATTTTCTTATGACTTAATAAAGGTAAAGAGAAAGTCGGGGAATCATCGGAAGGCAAGGGAATAGCAAAGTACAACAAAACAGTGAGTAAATTCTAATCTAATGTTTATCTTAATATGATTATGGTATTCGGGCATGAAGCGGCCCGAGTATAACGTGTATGATGGCTGTGTAAGATTTAAGCCAACTGTGACGGAATGTCGATATGTGGTATGGTTACATGATTGATTGATAACGAAATTGTATGATTATGTGATGATATGATGAAATGATTGTACGATGATATGACCAAAAGGTTATAATATAAGTTATGTGTGTGCTAAATGGTATTACATGATGAGTATATGGAATGTGAAATGGTATTCAAAGTAGCTAGGTGAAAGAAATTGCAAGAATGGTTGTCTATTGTGAATTGTACGAGACGAGATGAAATGACCTATGAGTCATGCAAGTGAATCTGATATGAAATGGCCCTTGCTTTACATAGGGGATATGTTGAGTTGTGACTAACTATAAGACTTACATGGTCACCTAAAGCAAACGTAATGGCGCCCTGTCATGCACTCATTATAAGTGAAAAGAGGCTTCAAGCCTAAGAGATAAAAGAGTTATACGAGAACTCCTTTTAAGGAGTAATGCCAGGCCTGGGTACGAGTTTATGAGATATGGCACTCTATGCCGCACGAGTCTACGAGTTTATGAGATATGGCACTCTATGCCCCACGAGTTTACGAGTTCATGAGATATGGCACTCTTGATCACGAGTTCACGAGTATATGAGATCTGGCACTTTGTGCTTACGAGTTACGAGTTCACGAGATCCCGGGGAGTGCATGACTTGGAGAATAAAAGAAAAAAAGCGACTGAATCCAGCTAACTATATGTTTGTGTGTGATTGGATGCTGATTCATTGTTGATTTTGGGTGCAACATGAGTATGTGAATGCCAAGCTTGATATTTGCCATCTTTATGTGATATATGATTGAGATGGAAATCTTAGTATTTGCCATATTTGAGGTATATAATGTGAACCCTTACATGTGGTATGTGAAGGTTGATGTGCTTTATATGTCATATCAAGTGATATGAGGTGCATGTTATGATGATCTCCTATGATGAGTAGTACAACGATTGATCAGGAAACTGTAACATAAGTAGTAATGATATACTAATTTTATTATGGTAGTGCCATGAGATATCGATGTATATAATGTTATATTGTTATGTGTCTACAATACATCCCTTGATGTTGTACATGTTGATAGAAGTGGAAAAGATGAAGGAAAATTTCGTATGGGATATAAGAATAAATACAAACCATATGAAACACCGGGTAGGGTAAAGTAAAGGAGAAACC